CAGGCTTTGTGTGTCAGACTTTAGATCTAATAAGTAGAAATGAAAAACATTTGGATCTGATTAAAGAACAAAGGAACCAAGAGGTAGAAAGCAACCATTTCAGAAAATAGAGAACAGTTGGTTCTCCCTAATTATAACCATACTGAATTTTTAAAATTATGTTTCAATTGAGAATTCTGTGGAAAATTAACCCCCTAGCCTAATTATAGAAATAATATATTACAGATTTGTTCAAGGTGATTTATGCTTTCCTTAGGCTCAAGTATAGAAATGTTATTTGCAGTTTTTAATGGGACAAGTCTTTTCTTTGATGTAAGAAAGCAGTTCAGTTTTCATTTGCTAATACCCATTATTTTATATCTGCCATATCTAAATGAGGAAATCTGGTCTATATGTGAGACTCATCTGATTCTAAGATTTGCACTTGGATAGATTGAGATGTGATGAAGTATGACTGGATGTTAGAAAACGATGATGCATTTTTGTATAATAATGAGACTCCCTGCTAAGAAGTGGCAAGGCATTACATGCATAAGATGGAAGTAGCTAGCAATTTCATTTTTACAGTGATTTTTATTGAGATGGTACCTCAATGCTTTCTTTCATTTCATTTATGTATTCCCTTTTTATAGTATCTTCATTTATTTTGTGTTCATTTTACCTAGGAAGTTACATGTTTTTTAATAAGTTTTTTCTTGTGAAAATACAGAGGGATTACAATTACCTGAGCAAGGTAATGAGTACATTTCTTATCAAGCATTGTTGCCTCCTACTTAGTTTTTCCCCTACCATCCCTTCCCTCCCATTTCCACAACTATACTCCCCTCACCACCCTCCTTGTACTCCCCCACTGCTTAAATTGTAAAGTTTTGTTTTTCGACATAGCATCTTGTACATTGCATTGTTGCAATGAGTCAACCTGTATCCCTATTTAAACAATTTGTTTTTTCCCTTCCCCTCCACAAATTATACCAACATCGAATACAGTGAAAACAGGGGTTATACCACGGGGGAGGAACATACAAAGAAACAAAAAAAATCACATGGTACCTTATAACTACATTAGAAACAATAGTAAGAAAGAAAAAAACCACTTGTGTCCTTATCTTAGGGTTCATTTCGCTTAACATCATCCTATCTGACCATTTCTGCTTGTCTCAGACATATACTAGTTATTGCAAATAAGGGAAACCATGGGACCTATGTTTCTTTGGGCCTGGCTTACTTCACTTAATATAATTTTTTCCAAGTCTTTCCATTTCCTAACAAATGGGACAATGTCATCTTTCTGATAGAGGCATAGAATTCCATTGTGTATATATACCACATTTTCTTGATCCATTCATCTACTGAGGGGCATCTGGGTTGGTTCCATATCTTAGCTATGGTAAATAATGATGCAGTAAACATAGTTGTGCTGGTAGCTTTAGTATAGTCATGTTTGTGATCATTTGGGTAAATGCCTAAAAGTGGGATTGCTGGCTCATAGGGGAGCTCTATGTGGAGTCTTTTGAGGAACCTCCATACTGCTTTCCACAGAGGTTGAACAAGTTTTCACTCCCACAAACAATGCAGTAAGATTCCCTTCTGTCCACATCCCCTCCAGCATCTGTTGTTATTAGAGTTCTTGATTTTAGCCATTCTAACTAGGGTGAGGTGGTATCTCAGTGTTGTTTTGATTTGCATTTCTTTTATGGCTAGGGAGATTGAGCATTTCTTCATGTGTCTATTGGTTTCTTTTGTTAAAGCTGGACACCAGTGGTTCATGTGTATAATTCTAGCCACTCAGAGACTGAGATATGGAGGATCATGGTTTGAAGCCAGCTCAGCCAGAAAAGTCCTTGAGGCTTTATCCCTAAAATAATGAGAACAAGGACTAGAAGCATGGCTCAAGTGGTGAAGTGCCAGCTGAGCAAACAAGCCAAGCAGGTGTGAAGCCAAGAGTTCAAAAAGCCCCCCTCCCACCCAAAAACTAAACAACAACAAGTAAGATCAGTGAAAAACAGAAACATTATTTAGTAATTTTTGTTTGGGTTGTTTGTTTATTATCTTAACATTAGGAATTTGAGACTGACCAAAATCAGGTTGTAGTGTTAAGAAATGGTAAGATGATGGTGTTACTTTACAGTATGAATCCTCTTTTAACTGTATTTGAATTCTTAGATATCTGGAAATGGAATGGAGCCAATACCTGTTACTGCCTTCTTTCTAAACAATCTTTTCCTACTACTGTGGCTTTTTTTCTTCTAAGACAAATTTCAGTATGATTTTAGACAGTCAAATCAATTTTGGATTCCCATTTCTTTTCAATAGCATCTCTTAATAAGAAGCACATATTAGAATTGTGCAGGGAACTTGCACATATGTGAAACTCATCCTTAGAAAATCTGACTATTAGGCAGCTAGGGCAGAGTATTGGTAGAAATGTCACTTTGCTGATTTCCAGGCCTCTCTGTATGTATTGCCTAAATCAGAGCTACTTCGCTGCCTCTATTTTTTTCTTCCTGCTGCCCACTGCTCAGGTCCAGTCTTGTCAAATAGATGTTACATGAATACTTAGTTTAATTTCCTGTCGGTATACTTCTATACAAAAGGATATTTATAACCTATCTATAGTTTACTTTGATCACGTTTACTCCAACTGTATTGTTCTTTCTAACTGTCCCCCTTTTATATTTGCTGCATGATACCATTGTCTTTTCCAGTCTCCCCCATTTGCTGTCCCTTCCCCAAAGTCTTCCTGTCAGGACCACATCGTATTAAGGACTAGATTCTACATATAAGTGAAAGTATGTGATGTTTCTTTGAGTTTAGCATATCTCAACATGAGAATCTTCATTTTCACCATTTTCCTCTAAATAATATAATTTTATTCTTTTTGTGGCTAATAATACTCCATTATCCATATACATACAAACATGTACGCATACACACACATAAACACTCACATATGCAGCACTATTTTGTATCCAGTCATTGTTAGTTTGTTTGACATCTAAGCTGTTTTCCTATCTTGGCTATTGTAGTAGTGCTACTGTAAACATGAGTGTAAATATCTCTTTTTTATATTGATTTACATTCCTTTAGGTACATGCCCAGGAGTAGTCTAGCAGGAACATATGGTAGTTCTACTTTTGTTTCTTCAGAAACTATATGGTAGTTCTGGTTTTTTTTTTTTTTTTTTTTTTTTTGTAATTTTATCTTTGGGAATTTCCAGTACTGATTTGCACAGTAGTTGTACTAATTGACATTCCCACTAACAGTGTTAAGTATGAATGGTTCTTCTCCACACATTCTTGCCAACATTCTGGTTGGTTTCCTTGATGAAAGCCATCCTTGACTGGGGTGAGAGTACATCTCACTGTTGTTCTAATTTGTATTTCATTTTTTGCTAACAATGTCATATGTTTCTTCAAATAATTATTAGCTACTTCTACTTTTTTAATGAACTGTCTCCCATTTGATTGTTCATGTATTCTTCTTTGGGTGCACTAAAATCAATTCAAAGGAGATAATAAGACCTGAAACATTACAACACTTTGGAAGTGTAGGAAAACATTGGAAGATACAGACACCAGGCAATAACTTTGGGTTTTTTTTTTTTTTGTACTTTTTTCAATGTAAAAATACTGAATAGAGGGGTTAGAGTTACATGAGCAAGTACTGAGTACATTTCCTATTGAGCATTTGTTGCCTCCTCCTTTGTTCAGAGTAGGGCTCTATTAGCTCAACAAATAACAGCAAGAATTGACAAATGGGATTGCAGCAAAAAACTCCTCATGAAAGAAAACGATTTTCAAAATCAAGAGAGGACCCACAAGATGAGACAAAAATCTGTTCAAGCCATTCTTCATATGCTATCGAGAATCTATCTGTGTACTACCCCCCTCCTCTCCCCGCCCCCCACCCCTTCTCCCCCCTTGTGAGGCTAGCACTCTGGGAGCTCTTTTGCTCAGTGCCAGTGCTCTATCACTTTAAGCCACAAGCCCACATCTGGTTTTTGAATGGTTAATTGGAGAGAAGAGTCTCACAGGGACTTTTCTGCCCCAGCTAGTATCAAACCAGGATCCTTAGATCTCAGTCTCCTGAATAATTACGATTACAGGCATGAACCATCAGTGTCTGGCTTGTCACCATCTTTATACTCCAGGTCTTTCATCTTTCAAGCATCTACTTTCTAGATTCTCCTCTAATGACAGATTTCTTCTACTAACTCAAGTAGAAATAAGTCACACTAGATTTTGTGTGTATCTTTTATATTGGACCACATTTTTTAATATATTTTTTATTGTAAAGACATTGTACAGAGGGGTTACAGTTACATGAGTAAGGTGATGAGTACATTATTACCCCTTTGTTTTTCCCTTACCATCTTTTTCCTCTCTATCTCCCCAACTCCTCCCTCTCCCCCGCAAAGTTGTAAAGCTCATTTTCAACATAGTGTCTTGCACACCTCATCGTTACAATGGGTCAACCTGTATCCTTATTTCAGCTTTTTTTTATTTCCCTTCCCTTCCCCAAATAGAAAAATGTATATACAAGATGTAGGGCACCAGTGCCCTACATCAAATATAGTGAAAACAGGTGTTATACGGGGGAAGAACATTCAAGAGAAACAAAACACCACATAGTACATTATAAGTACATTAAAAACAACAACAAAGATAAAATCTTTTGTGTCCCTATCTTGGCGTTCATTTCACTTAGCATTATCTTATATGACATTTGACCACATTTTAATGAAATACTTAGATCTTCCATTAAACTGAATTTTTTGAAATCATATATCTTATGCTCGTCATGCTCCTGTTAAATTAATATATGATAAATTACCATATGAAAGCCTATTAAGAATTTAAGTGCTTGATTAAGAATCATGATCAACCAACAAAACTTCAGTAGATATACAAACCTCTATTTGTCTTAATGTAATTTCTGTTGAAATCTATATGCATATAGAGATTTATTTTTCTATCTGCTTATTTTTCCTATATCCATAGACGAAATCTCACAAAACTGTCCCTCATCTTCAGTCACATGCTGGCAGAAATTAAAGCAATCTTTCCCAACGGTCAGTTCCAGGGAGACAACTTCCGCATTACTAAAGCAGATGCTGCTGAATTCTGGAGAAAGTTTTTTGGAGACAAGTAAGTAAAAATCATTGTTATAGTTTGGATTCATATCTCAAAGTCGACCACATTTTGCTTTTACTTGAACATGCTTTAGATTTTGCAGGGGTATTTTGAGAAAATATATTAACTATTTTTGAGAAGTATTTTGGTTGATATTTGGAGTATTTTCTTTGTTATTACACAGTAGGAGTCAGATTATATAGGTTTATGTATTTGGTGAAAATTAATTGAGTCGGTGGATGCATATAAAATGGTTTCAACACATAAGAAGCTCCTAATTTTTGTAACAGTACATACCTAATCACATATACAAAATAAATAGGAAGGGGCTACGGACTTTCAAAAACCATAATAAGACATTGCTAACATTGAGAGAGGGAAACGGCAGCTTTGAAATCACAGAAATCAAAGGCTGCTTCCTGCAGGAGGTGGTTCCTGGTTCCTTAAGCTTGGTGAAGATCTGAAATTGAAGTATGAGACCACCCTGGCCCAGGCATTCCTTTCATTACTACACAAAATACATTATGTGTGAACAAGACATGTAGATCATGTAATCACAGAGCTACATTATAAAACAGTGAGGGAGAGGTGTGTTCCAATAGCTATTTCCCAGTCAGACAAAAAATCTGTGTAGCAATCTAAGTGGTATAGCTTCAGTATATTATACATAAAACAAAACCTTCTGTAAGATGATCAAGAAATGAGCATGAGAACCTTTAATGAGGTAAGTAACACTTTCAGAAAGCCCTTGAGTGAAGGCAATACTTGTGTTAAAAAGGAAGAACAGTGGATTTTACATAGTTTTGATTTTAGTACTGTGCTAATTGTTTCTGTAACACTGTGTTATTACATAACCAATGAAATAAGATATGTTAAAATTTGGGATCTTTTTATGGATTCAGTGCTTTGACACGAATGGAAGTGTTGCCTTGGTTTCCCTTTTTTAAAATTAGTTAACAATTACTAGATCTCACATGATTAGTCAATACTTAGAGTAAGAAACATTTTAATAAAGAAAGTATTTTTTGTTTTGTTTCAGAAGACCTTTTTTTTTGGGAAGGGGGGTTTGGGGCTTGAACTCTGGGCCTGGGTGCTGTCCCTTAGCTCTTCAGCTCAAGGCTAGCACTCTCCCACTGCTCAAGGCTAGCACTCTCCCACTTGAGTAACAGTGCCAGTTCTGGTTTTCTGGTGGCTTATTGGAGATAAAGTCTCTTGGCCTTTCATGCCCGGGCTAGCTTTGAACCCCGATCCTCAGATCTCAGCCTCCAGAGTAGCTAAGATTACAGACATGAGCCATTGGCACCTGGCTGTTTTTGTTCTTTGAAAAGAATCTTTTCATGTAGTTCAGGCTGTCCTCACATAAGCTATGAAGCTTGGGGAGCCTTGAACTTAGAATTTTTTTCTTTCTCAAACTGCTAGAAATACAGGTGTAATTTGCCTTAAAAATATTAACAATTTGACTTAAAAATACTAACACCTACAGCTACTTAGGATACAAAGTCTAGAGGATCGCAGTTCAAGGCCAGCCAGAACAACAACAACAACAACAAAAATTTAGCAAGACTACATCTAAGCAATTGAGCCAAGTATGGTGGTTCCCATCTTTGTTCCCAGGTAAGCAGGGGGCTTTAGGTAGGAGACTGCTGTTCTAAGAATGGACCCAGGCAAAAATGTGACAACCAAACCCCCCAAATAACTAAAATTTGAAAAGCTGAGAATGTGGCTCATGTGGTAATGCACTAGTACAAAACCCCGAATTTAGACTCCAGTGCCACCAAAACTAAAGTCTGTTTTTCAGTGTGTTGTTGTTGTTGTTGTTGTTGTTAGTGGTGGTGGTTTTGGTTGTGGGGCTTGACTACAGGGACAGGACAATGTCTCTGAGCTTTTTTAACTCAAGTATAGAACTCTACCACTTTGAACCACAGGACCCTTTGTGGTTTTCTGGTGATTAATTGGAGTTAAGAGTCTCATGGACTTTCCTGCCCAGGCTGACTTTGAACCACGATCCTCAGATCTCAACCTCCTGAGTAGCTAGGATTACCTGTGTAAGCATGGCTTATTTTCCACTTCTGATAATGAAACATTCTGAATTACTTTTAAGCATTAAAAGAGAAAACACCAGTTTTGCAAGTAACATAGACATCCATTCATTCTAAAAATCTAAGTATTTATAATATTCTTATGTCCATTTGCAAATGAGGAATTAAAAGTATTCCTATTCCTGAATTATATAGATTGTACTAAGTAACATTAGTGAAAATAATGAGCTCTGGATTGAAAAGGAGAGGTTTTCAGTTTGTGTATTGGTACAAACTTAGTGCAAACACTTAATAATTTGGAAGATAAATTTTCTCTTAAAGTTTAAAGAAAATATATGGATGGATTCTTTATAGTAGTTAACTTCGTGCAAAGTGGAATTTCTTGGTGACTTAGAAAATTGTTTACTTGATATAAGGTCAGTAAGAAATGGAAACTTGTTCACATGTTTTTCTTTGAAGGGTTTACTTTGCTGATACCTCAAGCCACAGAGAATGATGCAGTTGAGACATCTTTATTTTTTTTAATTTATAACCACAGACATCAGCGGACTCAAATTTCTATCTTACTGCCATGTTTGTGAAATAACTACCACCTTTTAAATGGGGGGGACCCTTAAAATGCTGATTAAGTAGTCTCCTAGCTTCCTAAATCCTTTTTCTTTGTCTCTTGTTCTCAATGACCCCAGGAAGCTCTGAAATTTAACTCTTTGTTTTAGTTTTGAGAGCAATATTTCAACTTAACACATATTTATAGGAGTATTAGAGAAACTGTAAGCTTTTACCTCATAATTCCACATGTTTTATTGGCTTAATGAACAAGTGGGTGAATGGTGTAAACTTTCTTGGTTTGAATTCTTTTCTCTTTGTTTCCTTGACTACTGACTTGCACTTCCTTAACATGATTCTTGTCTTCAAACATTCCTGTCATCTAGCTTACTACACATTGATACCTTTCCAGATGTTTCAAAGACAGCACTGTTTTTCAAATGCCAACCATTAAGAGGTTAGTTTTTGATTTTAGAACAGATTTTTATTTTATCATGTAGACTTTTATCCTAAGGCCTGTTACTGGCTTACTTTCCAAAAGAACAGAATCAGTGGTAACAAAACATTACCATTGAATTAAGATTGGAAGCCAGCTGTTGTTCATAGGTCTATATAAGACTGAAAGAGACAGTTCCAGATTTAAACCTCATGAAAACAGGGAATAGCAGAACACAACACAACACTAACCATATGGCTAGTGCTTCATTTTGTAATTCTTAACCTTTTCATGTTGTGGCAGGACTAGATGAGCCCCTGAGTTCCTGGCCAAAAGGCTGTGCCTACTTAGAGGAGCACAAGCAATCAGCAGCACTAAATGTATCATGGCAAACTGACTGGAGAATTTTTCAATAGTTAATTTTTTATACAAAACACGCAAACATTTTGGGGGTCCTTTGTTCTGTGCTCAGGGCCTTCTGCTTGCTAGGCAGGCACTCTACTGCTTGAGTCCTACTTCTAATCCAGTATGTTAACTATTCAGTCACGCTTCTGTTCTCTTACTCGTTGCATGAGGAAATAGTAGAAATATGTAGAGAAAGAAAGAGGACAAGTCATACAAAACAACATTCAAAATATACAAAAGCTGAATCTTTATACTCTGGAACAGCAGTTTTTAATGCAGAATCTTTTCAGCAAGAGGGTTATAAAATGCGTTTTTAGCTGTTAAGGAAAGACAAGACAAGGTTGGGAGGGAAGGAGACATTAAATATGCCTAGACTGTGTGGCCCTTATTTTTCTGAACAAGACAGGTAGCTAGCAGTTGGAGACTTAGTCATATACTTCCAAACAAACCATAATTCAAAAAGAACCAATCCATTATAATTCTGGAATCTTCTTTGATGTGCTCTTTTTCTCACTTAGTTTGTTTTTTTTTTTCTAGTTCAAGCCCAGATTCTTCCCTGAATTATTGCAACAGCATTCTGATAGGTGTCCTTGTCTTAAATAAGAGGCTATCCAGGTGTTCTGAAAGTAGTACTGTTTTCCAGGAAGCAGAGTTAATCATTCCAGTCATTTACCATGAATATTAATTCTGGGAAAGTCTAAAACTCCATCCACCCAACAACCTTTAGGAGATAGGTTTGGTTAGTCTGTTATTTTTGTCTTTTTTCTAGCTTCATCTCTATTTACTTAGTTCATCTGCAAAGGAACAAAATATGCAACATTCTATTCATCTTTCCTCTCCTATACTTCTTTTTTTTTTCACATTATCTTTGTTGTCCATTATTCGTTGAGTGGTCTCTGTGCCAAACCTGGTCAGCATTGCTGCTGTGAAAACTTCCTATGAGTATCTGAAGTACATGTCTTTATTCCATGTTGATGGATACCTGAGCTCACATCCCTCCTACTGGATTGCAATGAACTGCTGACACATTTATATTTCATTTCCTGCTAGATTTGTGAGTTACTTTGAAAGCACAAACTCTCTTACTCCCCTGTGCTTTTCAGAGCCTGGCACATTTCCTGGAAGGAGTAGGCACTAATAATTACAGACTACCTGCATATTTGCATGGATAGATGAATTTGTACCAATTTACTGTAAACTAACTTGTCATCCTATAATTCTAATCCCTAGGTGTCTCTTCTTTTTCCTTCTTTATTTCTATGCTAGAATTTACCCCTTTCTTCAAGCCCAGTTAAAAAGTCTCTTTTTTCTGCATATTTCCTTAGTTGTATACAGCCTTAAATACAGTTTGCCGCCATGATCCTTGTATTTTTGTTATATTTTAAACATGTTTATATTATGGTATATGTGTTTAATGCATAGCTATTTTTCCTGATTGATGGTGAAGCTCTCCAATGACTTCTTTTATACCAGTTAGTGAAAATAAGACATTTTTAGAGATACTATATGTCAGATTTTGTATTCAACATTCCTACATATATTAGCTGCATTTTCAATATATTAAAAAAAATTAAGGGTTATTGAATGAG